TATATATATATAGTGAAGGACAAATTTTAAGGTTCGAGTTCACTAACACATTGCAGTAAAAGCATCAGAATCAGGGCCGCTGGAGGTTCAGGAAGGGGTATTAGTCATGTGGATTACTGTTTTAAACTTAGCTTGCTTAAGTTCTTGGCTAAGAATAAGCTTCTTTGTTGGGGTCAGACACTGTATGAATAAGACATCAGGGTTGATTCAGGTCAAGACCTGGAGCTTTGAGGGAAAATCAGTCCTGGCAGTGAGGCTGAACTGCAATATGTAATCCAGTTAGCACAGACAGCTTTGTCCACTAAAGATTTTTTGTTGTTGTGATTTAGTTTGGTTGAAGAGGATTTTGTTTAGCTTTGTGTAATACCTTAAATGATAAATAAAAGAAAATTAATGTTTCACTGAAGTGCCTACTTTAAGATTGAGTAAATTTACCAATTTAACAATTTTTACCAAATTAAAATTGGCAAATACACTTAGGGAAGAACCAGAGTCTAATGGCATCAACAGAAAGTGATTCATCATGGAGTTGATCAGGGGCCGTGTTTATCTAACTTCGAGTGGAATTTTAGATTTAGGTGCTGAACATTTCTTAGGTTTACTCCGACTCTCAAACTGAAGTGTAAGCAAGTTATCAAAATTATAAGAATCACTCTCTCCCGAAAATGTAAATCAGCTCCAGAGGACTCAAGTGGTTGGAGTTACAACGAGGAGTCTGAGAAGACAGAGATCCTTCTCMAGAATACTCTGCAGCACCTCAGAAACTGCACTAAGTGGTCCGGGGGTCTCCCACCTGAGCGTGATTTATGTACAGAGGAACAAAAATAAGGTGTGGAAAACAGGTTTAGTCATCAATACAAAAGAAAGAAGGGAAGAAGAAAAACAATTACAAGTGCCATAATGTTGGACTAAAAGGTGGCTTTTTCTTTTTCTTTTTTTTCAGTTTATTTATGTGGCACCAAGTCACAACAAATGTTGTCTCAGGGCACTGTACACAAAAAACAATAAATCTAAAGAAGCCAGCAGACTGTGCCAAATCTTTGCTTCATCACAGTCTCCCATCCTGAGCAGCACACAGGCAGAAGCGGAGAAGAAAAACTCCCCTTTAACCGGAAAAAACCTCCAGCAGAACCAGGCTCAGGACAGGCGGCCATCTGCCTCGACCGGAAAGAGACACAGCCAAACACAGGACTGGTCCAGGTGCATTTTCCTCTGGAAGACAGACAAAGAAAACATGTTAATGATGGAATTAAAACAAACATGTAGAGAAGAGAGACTTAAGAAACAGCGGAGCGAGTAAATGTGCTCAGTTTGTGCTCCAGAAGTCTAAGCCTATAGCAGCATAACTAAATAAACCTAAGACKAGCTATAGGATTTATCAAAAAGGAAAGTCTTCAGTCTAATCTTAAAAGTAGACAGATTGTCAGCCTCATGGACAGAAACTGGAAGTTGGTTCCACAAGAGAGGATTGTAATTGTTGTCTGATGCATATGTTTACTCAGTTTAATATTCAACACAAACTTTATATTTCAAATGGCTTTCTTGTTCTAGGATCTTCCTTCCATTTCTCCTTCATGTTGATCATCAGAGAGCTCTGTCTCTGCAGCTGTGCATGCTCTGGACTTTAATGTGTTTCTGTAGCTKTTCCTTCTACTTTCCACAGCAGGGCAGAGTAGAGCTGCTTCTTCTCTGCTGTAGCTGCCTAAAAGACAAACAATGTGAAATATGATGTTTATTTGGGTAAGACTGCTTGGTGACAAGAGTCAGTGCATTACAAGACTCACCAAACTAACTGTCATCGTCAAAATTTAACACTAACACATAATTTATTTTTCCTACAAATGAGTTTAAAGTTGATATAAAAAAAGATCAAAACAAAAATGTCTCTTTACAAACAGTTTGATCCTGATGACTCTGACCTTCTTCATCTGCCGCTGCCGCCTGCCTTCTCCTGCTGGTTTGATCCAGGAGATCCTGGTGCTGCTGTAGATCTTTTTTTCTTTTATTCTTGGCATTATTCTGCAATTAGTACATAAGTAAAACCAATGTTCTGCTGTGTATGATTGTTACATGCAGTGGTATCTGCAAATATGTTCCTCCCCTTTAGTGCTCTACCACCACCTAGTGGYGGAAGAGCATCATTAAGTGCTCAAGCACCTGGTGCTATGCAGTTCCCTGAGCAGACTCACTGCTTGCTGAAGGGATTATAATACAGGAACTGTCCTTGGAACACTGTGGGATTCCCCAGGAGGAGCTGTGAAGTGTTGCTGTGTAAAGGGATGCCTGGGATCACTTTCTAAACCTGTTGCTTCCAAGAACTGACCATGGATAATATACATAAAATGGAGGAATGAATAGTGTTATATTTTAAAGTCAAACATACAAAAAACAAATAATGCAAACCAAAGGTAAACTGTGAATTAGGTTATTGTGTTCTCTTTTGAGATCTTTATTTTGAGTTTCTGTTACTTGTGTTTTCATGTTAGTTCAAATGTCTGTGTTCTTGTTCTTTATTTGTTAGGATTATTATGGTGTTAAATTTTGTTTCCCCCATGTCATCTTTCATTTACCACCAGTCAGCTCCTTCGGTGAAATCCCACATGAAGCGTATACTTTATAGATGTTGTTTTTATGTGTGTGTGTGTGTGTGTGTGTGTGTGTGTGTGTGTGTGTGTGTGTGTGTGTGTGTGTGTGTG